ACACAGGAGTAAGCTCACTGGCGCAGTGTCTCAGAGTGGCCGGAGACACGTGGTCCGGGCCAGGAGCTTTGCGGGGGTGCAGCCTCAGGAAGAGTTGTTTAATCTCTTTAGCGGCTATTGTTTAGGCTGGGGGCAGGGCTGATGGGTGGGTCGTTAGAGTAGTGGGGGGTGGGGGAGGTGTCAGGGGCAGCATCAAAGCGACTGAAAAATAAGTTCAGTTCGTCAGCTAGCTTGTGGTCGTCAGCACAGGGGGGGGCTTTGGGTTTGTAGTTGGTGATCTCCCGTAGGCCCCTCCAGACAGAAGCAGTATCGTTGTTAACAAACTGCTCTTGTAGTCGTTCTCTGTGCCGGGACTTGGCTGCTTTCAGTTCTTTCCTGAACTGATATTTAGCTGCTTTGTAACCGCTGCGGTCCCCCTCCCTGAAAGCAGACTCCTTTGCTTTCCTGAGCTGCCGGAGTTTAGCAGTGAACCAGGGTTTGTCGTTGTTATAGATGACCCTGGTCCTTGTTGGAATGATGCTATCCTCACAGAAGTGAATGTATGACGTCACAGTGTCCGTGTATTCATCCAAACTATCTGTGGCAGCTCTGAAAAGGTCCCAGTCTGTAGATTCCATGCATGCGCGCAGCTCTTCCACAGCTTCATTAGACCACACTTTGGAGCTCCTCACTGCAGGTTTCGAGAGCTTTAGTCTCTGTCTGTAAGCAGGAACCAGATGTATCATGGAGTGATCTGAGAAGCCGAGGGCTGGCTTGGGGACAGCGCGAAAAGCTCCGCGCACGGTGGTGTAACAGTGATCCAGAGTGTTCTCCTCTCTGGTACCTGCAGGTGAAAGATGGATTCCGTCAGACCTCTGATTTTAAGCAGGGCAGGGCCTGGTTAGTACTGTGATGGGAGACCTCTGGGAACACCAGGTGCCACAGTACGTCTGTAAAGTGCCAAGTAAAGTGTTGCTGTGTCCTTAGGCAAAACACTTCACCCCCATTGCCTAGAATGAGTCTGGCTTGTGTGTGAATGGCTGGTAATTGTCGGAGGGGCCAATGGCACATACTGGTTGCTTCTGTCAGTGTTTGCCCCAGGGCAGCTGTGGCTACAGTAGTAGTTAATCATCACTGAGTGAATGATTAATGACATATGAAGCGTCTTTTAGTGTCCAGAGAAGCACTGTACATTATTAAAGTGAATTAAGAAATGCTGTTTTGTGTGTGTGTGTGTGTGTGTGTGTGTGTGTGTGTGTGTGTGTGTGTGTGTGTGTGTGTGTGTGTGTGTGTGTGTGTGTGTGTGTGTGTGTGTGTGTGTGTGTGTGTGTGTGTGTGTGTGTGTGTGTGTGTGTGTGTGTGTGTGTGTGTGTGTGTGTGTGTGTGTGTGTGTGTGTGTGTGCGAGAGAGTGTGTGTTTGTCTGTGCGTGTTTGTGTTTTTGATGAAGAAGAAGATAATCCTTTATTCGTCCCACAGTGGGGAAATTTCACAAACATAAACACATCAAGGCATGCAGCGTACGATTACTTCCACACTCCTTATGGGCAAAGTGGGGTAAAGTGTCTAGCTTAAGGACATAACGACAGCAGACATCAGTGAGAGTTGGTGGAGTAGGTCTTGCGGTGGGCTCAAGACCAATGCTTTACCAACACCTGTCACTGTTGTGTATTCATTGTGTGTGTGTTGGAGGATATACTTTAGTGTTTAAAGTCCATGCACTATAGCTCCCCTCTCTCTGGAGCCAGGATTTTGAAATCTCGGCCCATACAATTTTTAAACGTCATCCTTTGTATAAGAAAGAGCCCTATGAGTCATTGATGCTATGGGCTGAGTGCTCTGATTGGCTGAGTGACTGAGGCCAAACATACATGTATGTGAAAACTAGCGATAGAACCAGTTTTGAGAGCGAGGAACTAGTTACACATGGATTATTTGACATAATTCCATTTATATTGTTTGGAAGTTAAAAGTAAAACATCTCATTATCCTTTTTTATGGCCACAAATAATACGTTATATTTCTCATTCAATATTCACACTATGCCCTTTAAGCTTCCTGGGCGTCCCCTCACACTTACAAAGGACAGAAATTAGCAAAGTATATGAACGTTTATCAATGTTTTGTTAGTGAAGAATTGAACTTGAATGCTGTGCTCTGTAAAACCACAAACCCAAACCTGAGTCACTGAATAATGTTGTGATTTTGTTTTTATCTCTGTGATTGGTGCTGTCTGTTTTTGGCTGTTTCTGTTGCTGCTGCTGCTTCTTCCCGAACGCCTCCCTGATGTGAAGGCTCGCCGCGCACCAATCAGAATGCAGATGTGCCGTCGGTGCGAGTCCACTGAGAATTACATGAGAATACTAAACAGGGGAAGAGCCGGAGAGAGAGCGAGGCCACCGACTGACAATGGAGGCTCTGTGGGCCAAATGTGATGTCACACAATTAAACCTGAGAACGTCCACTCGATCGCGTATGTGTGAGAAAGTAGGAAATACATTGATGTAACAAGTATAAAAGAGGCAAAGATGGTTCGAATAGTAATTTTATCATTCACTGTCAAATTAGGCATGAGAATAGGCACTTAATTGCATTTTTTTGACTGAGAAACTTTCAGAAATTTAACCCGCCTACTGACCGAGTTTAGTAACAACACTCGGAGCAAATGGTCTGAACCAAACCAACCTTGTAGTTTAGAAGCGCCGTCTGCAGGTGAAAGCCAGATCCAGTCGGACCTCTGAAGCTAAGCAGTGCAGGATTTGGTCATACTGCGATGGGAGACCTCTGGGAACATCCAAATATTCTTTCTTTGGTGAATTTTGAAGATTAATTATGCTATATTGTTATGATTTTGCTATAGTACCTCTGCTCCCAAGTTTTTCTCCATCATTTGAAGTTATAGAGCTGCTTATCCGGGCAGAAAAAGCAGAAACAGCGTTGCAAACAGCTGGAAACGAACGATCTTGAAGTTTATTTGTAGTTTTTCAGAAAGATGCCAATTTAAAAGGGTCAATTTAGCCACTGCCTTATTTTGTGTTAGAGGGCCAGTTAGTATGCTTCAAAAAACCGTTAAAGGCTCCAGGTACACATTCAAATTTGGGTTTTAGGCTCAGTATAAATCAAAATAGGTGTATATGGTGTATTGGCAGAGCTGAAGTTGGCTGGATGACTCTGACTCTGTAGCGTTTGGCTCACAGGCCTGGGTTAGACATGCCTGGCTTAGCGGAGGGATAAACTTGTTCAAATGCTATTGTCAAAAAGCTATGTACCATATCATGACAAACATACACACACACTAACAGCGACACACAAACATGATTTTGTGTGTAGCCTGTTGTCGTTCGGCCGGGATCACATGTGCGTGCCTACAGAGTTTGCATACATGAGACAGAGAGAGAACATGCAAATGAATGTTTTGATTTTCACAAACGCTTAGAAGGAGTTGAGTCACGGTTGGTTTTTTCCTTTGTGTGTGTGTGTGCGTGTGCGTGTGTGTGTCTCGCATCAACTGTAGCTACTGTAACAAAACAAGTATTTAAAGCGTTGCAAGCCGTGGATTAGAGATAGGAGAGTTTAAAGCTGGAGATTTAACTTTTTCCAACGTAAATGATTCACAAAACATGGTATTTTGGTGAATTGGTACGAAAGAGAGAATGGAAATACTCATTTTAAAAAAGCATTTTTCACAGACTGGTAAAAGTGTGTGCGTCTCCGTGTGTGTGTGTAGATCCCTCTCTCTCTCTCTATGCGTCTGTGTGTGTCTCTCTCTCTTTCTCTTTCTGTGTGTGTCTCTCGCTCTCTCTTTCTCTCTCTCTGTATCTGTGTGTGTCTCTCTCTCTCTATGCGTCTGTGTGTGTCCCTGTGTGTGTCTATCTCTCTTTGTGTGTCTCTGTGTGTGTGTCTCTTTCTCTTTCTGTGTGTGTCTCTCTCTCTTTCTCTCTCTCTGTATCTGTGTGTGTCTCTCTCTCTCTATGCGTCTGTGTGTGTGTCCCTGTGTGTGTCTATCTCTCTTTGTGTGTCTCTGTGTGTGTGTCTCTTTCTCTTTCTGTGTGTGTCTCTCTCTCTTTCTCTCTCTCTGTATCTCTGTGTGTGTGTCTCTCTCTTTCTCTCTTTCTGTATCTCTGTGTGTGTCTCTCTTTCTCTTTGTGTGTGTGTGTCTCTCTCTCTCTCTTTCTCTCTCTGTATCTGTGTGTGTCTCCCTCTCTGTGTGTGTGTGTGTGTCTCTCTCTCCCTCTCTCTCTTTGTGTGTGTATATGTGTGTGTGTGTCTCTCTCTGTGTGTGTGTGTGTGTGTGTGTGTGTGTGTGTGTGTGTCTCTCTCTGTGTGTGTGTGTGTGTCTCTCTCTCTCTCTCTTTGTGTGTGTGTATGTGTGTGTGTGTCTCTTTCTCTCTTTCTGTGTGTGTGTGTGTGTGTCTCTCTCTCTTGCTCTCTCTCTTTGTGTGTATGTGTGTGTGTGTGTGTGTGTGTGTGTATGTGTGTGTGTGAATGTGTGTGTGTCTCTGCAGTCCCTCAGATTCACGACCATCAGCTCCTGATGCTTCAGCACTTTACCTCAGACACAAAAGACCTGATTCTCTGCTTCACCTCCGTCTCTGCAGAGGACCAGAGACACACACTATTCTCTATAACTAAACACACACACTGTTAATAAAGACACACACTATTCTTGCCTTATTTTGACCCACAAAAATGCAGCTCAGCAAGTTTATTTGTATAGCACAGTTCCTACTCAAGGCAACTCAAAAACAATCACAAAAGCATTCAAATCATAAATAATCACAGTGCATTAAAAAGAGTGAAGATAAAATCCTTCAGTTGTTCAGAAACAGAACTGTTTTTAACCTGGATTTGAACATTGTCAGAGAAGAAGCCTGTCTCACATTTTCAGGAAGACTGTTCCATATTTTAGCATGAATCTGAAATGCTGCCTCCTCGTGTTTAGTCCTGGCTCCTATAACCAGTGTTGAGCAAGTGTTTAAAGTACACAAACTCTAAATAATAGGAGTCTGTCCATCTGTAAAATATGTTATTGTCCACTCAGTGTTTCAGCCTCAGCTTCTGCCTCAGCCTCAACTTCTGCCTTAGCCTCACCCTCAGCTTCTGCCTCACCCTCAGCTTCTGCCTCAGCCTCAACTTCTGCCTCAGCCTCACCCTCAGCTTCTGCCTCAGCCTCAGCTTCTGCCTCAGCCTCACCCTCAGCTTCTGCCTCAGCCTCAGCTTCTGCCTCAGCCTCTGCCTCAGCCTCAGCTTCTGCCTCAGCCTCAGCTTCTGCCTCAGCCTCAGCTTCTGCCTCAGCCTCAGCTTCTGCCTCAGCCTCAGCTTCTGCCTCAGCCTCAGCTTCTGCCTCAGCCTCAGCTTCTGCCTCAGCTTCTGCCTCAGCCTCAGCCTCAACCTCAGCTTCAGCCTCAGCTTCTGCCTCAGCCTCAGCCTCAGCTTCTGCCTCAGCCTCAGCTTCTGCCTCAGCCTCTGCCTCAGCCTCTGCCTCAGCCTCAGCTTTTGCCTCAGCTTCATCCTCAGCTTCTGCCTCAGCTTCTGCCTCTGCCTCAGCTTCTGCCTCAGCCTCAGCTTCTGCCTCAGCTTCTGCCTCAGCTTCTGCCTCAGCTTCTGCCTCAGCCTCTGCCTCAGCTTCTGCCTCAGCTTCTGCCTCAGCCTCAGCTTCTGCCTCAGCCTCAGCTTCTGCCTCAGCTTCTACCTCAGCCTCTGCCTCTGCCTCAGCCTCAGCCTCAGCCTCAGCTTCTTCTACTGAACAGGAGCAACACTTCTTGGCTTCTACTACTGGGGCAGATGTGTTCTTCTGCTGATCCCGTGGTGCAGTGAATAATTTTGGGTTAAAATACAAAGTAACCTTTTTATTGAGTGAGGTCCATGACATCACAGCTCACAGTCCACAGCAGACCCAGATTACCATTTATTCACTTCCATCATTTCCATCTTTGTTCCTCTTTTGTTGCATATTTCTCCAGTTCCTGTGGATTTTAAAACAGTTTGAGATCTGAAACCTGCTTTTTATCAGAATAGATTCACCAAATGTCCTCAGTCAGAGACCCCCCACAGAGCGCCGCTTCTTGGACCTCGCCGCTTTAGGGCGAGTCTGATTTCTCTTTGAAGACACAGAGAGAGGATTATGAACAGAACTCACCGTCTTCTTCTTCTTCTTCTCCTTCTTCCTCTTCTCTTTTTCCCATAGCGTAAACATACACTATTCATTTGATGCTATTTTTAGCTGATTACATAAAACCACACGTTCACATGTGTTTGCTCCACGTCAGGCTCCTGCTCCATTTGGTAAAATATGGATTTAACAACAGAACTCACAGGGCAGTCATTTCGACTGCTCCATTCATTTGATTGTAAAGTTATAAAGTAGCTATTATCTGTCGCTTGGCAACCATCATTCTATGACAGTTAAAGCCCCTTTGCTCATGGTCCCGCACCTGCTGGACCGGTCCTGGACTGGTCTCTCTCTGTTCTTTCTGGTCTCTCTGGTCCAGGCCTACACTGGATCTGTAGACTTTAGACAATCATAGAAAACCTGGATAAAACATTGAAAGTCCAGTTTCCAAGCACTTAAAGCTGGGGTATCTATCTTTTCCCCATAAATAATAAATAATACATGTTGTCTATCACATTGTTCCATTGTTGTGGTTTGAAAGTCAGGTCCCTCAGCTTTAAAAGGTAAGAACAGGCAGATATTTGCGATGTGGAAGTAACAACAGAAACAATCCCAGTCGAGGACATGTGAGGCCAGGTGTCCCGTCTGCTGCTGCCCCTCTCCCCAAGGAATCCAACCCCCAACCCTCTCTCCGATCATTCTCTGGTCTCTCTCTGGCCTCTGTCTCTGGTCCCTCTCTAAGTCTCTCTCTAGTCTCTCTCCCTGGTCTCTCTCTGGTCTGTCTCTATTCTCTTTCTAGTCTCGCTCTAGTCTCTCTCCCTGGTCTCTCTCTAGTCTCTCTCTCTGGTCTCTCTCTAGTCTCTCTCCCTGGTCTCTCTCCCTGGTCTCTCCCTTGTCTCTCTCTGATCTCTCTCTAGTCTCTCCCTTGTCTCTCTCTGGTCTCTCTCTTGTCTCTCTCTAGTCTCTCTCCCTGGTCTCTCTCTAGTCTCTCTCTCTGGTCTCTCTCTAGTCTCTCTCTGGTCTCTCTCTGATCTCTCTCTAGTCTCTCCCTTGTCTCTCTCTGGTCTCTCTCTTGTCTCTCTCTGGTCTCTCTCTGGTCTCTCTCTAGTCTCTCTCTCTGGTCTCTCTCTAGTCTCTCTCTGGTCTCTCTCTAGTCTCTCTCCCTGGTCTCTCTCTAGTCTCTCTCTCTGGTCTCTCTCTAGTCTCTCTCTGGTCTCTCTCTAGTCTCTCTCTAGTCTCTCTCTGGTCTCTCTCTAGTCTCTCTCTGGTCTCTCTCTGGTCTCTCTCTGGTCTCTCTCTGGTCTCTCTCTGGTCTCTCTCTAGTCTCTCTCTGGTCTCTCTCTAGTCTCTCTCTAGTCTCTCTCTGGTCTCTCTCTAGTCTCTCTCTGGTCTCTCTTTGGCCTCTCTCTGGTCTCTCTCTGGTCTCTCTCTGGTCTCTCTCTGGTCTCTCTCTGTTCTCTCTATGGTCTCTCTCTCCACCTCTCCCTGTGAAAAGACAGAAATGGCCCCAGACGTGAGCAGGAGAATGTGCTAAACGTCTATTGATATGAAAGACTTAATAGTGAAGCTGGAGTGTGTTGTGGAAAAGTGCTGACGACGCGTTACTACGAGAAAAAGTCTCATAATGTGATGTCGCAAAAAATGATGACTTTGCACGAGACGGATTTTGTCACGAGTCGTAGGTCAGATGTGGACATATTTGCATTTTACTGTTGGATTTTGTGTAATGGTGTTTTATAGAGAATAGAGATAATACTTTAAAGTTTCTGTACAAGTGTCTCCATGTTCTCTCTCTCTCTCTCTCTCTCTCTAGTCTCTCTCTTTCTGGTCTCTCGCTCGTCTTTCTCTTGTCTCTCTGTCTCTCTCTGGCCTCCCTTTCTGGTCTCTCTCTAGTCTCCTTGGTCTCTCTTTCTCTACTCTCTCTCTGGTCTCTCTCGCTGTTCTCTCTCTAGTCTCTCTTTGGTCTCGCTGGTCTCTCTCTGTTCTCTCTCTGCTATCTCTCTGGTCTCTCTCTCTGGCCTCCCTCTCTGGTCTCTCTCTGGTCTCTTTGGTCTCTCTCTCTGGCCTCTCTCTCTTTTCTCTCTTTTGTCTCTCTCTCTCTCTGGTCTCTATCCATCTAATTTATTACTTTAAAATCATGAATCGTGATCCATCTCTCACTATTTGAAGTCCTGAGCCTCATAATAATCACTGCAGCTCTTGTGTTTTACCGTCACGTCGTCCCACAATGATGAGGTCACCGTTTACAAGCTGCAGAAGACCCCCCACCCTCTCCTCACTCCCTCACTCCCTCTCTCTTCCTGATCCCTAACCTGCCACAGCAGTGTCATTAGGAGTCAATACTACAAGGTCAGGCGGCTGCAGTACAACACAGTGGATTTGTACCGCTGTAATGAAGCTTAGAGGAGATGGGGTCCAATCAGAGGCCTGGGAAGAGAAAGGGAGACACCTACTGGACAGACGAGGAAATGCAAGCAGAAATTGTACTGATTCTGACAAGTGTGGAACATTTTAAAGTGATAGTATGCTACTCTTATTTGAGTTGTAAAAATAAATTGAGTTTCTGGGAGCTTCCTTAAGAGATGGATGTAAGGGGAGACCCAGGAATTAAAGCTGGGGTGTGTAACTTTTTGTTTGTCCCAACAGAAAAAGTTTAAAATATTGTTAACAAATCATACCACAACTCACCGTATTAAAATGTCAACTTTTGTGTAAGAATGAGCCCTGTGAGTCACTTTTTTGACGTTTTAGGCTGAGAGCTGATTGGCTGAGTGAGGGTGGTTCTCTCTTTTTTCACTTTTTCTGTCTAAAAAAATCTGATCTAAAGATGGGACAGTGAGAGAAACACATGACACTAGTGATAGAAGCGACTGTTTTCAGAGCGAGGGAAAAGTTTCATTCCTCTACGGTGAAAATATGTCACTGATGTCCATGTATAGTAAAGAAGAATAGGGAATGACAAGGAAACGTGTACTGTTGGTAAAAGTCGAGTTATTGTTATTGATTTGAATTGTTTATTTGGTTGGGACAGTGCATTTTGTACTTTTTAAAACTCTTACAAGCAAATTTCTAGTTTGTGAGTTTCCTGTTACTTACAATGGCAACCGTTTATCATTATTTACCCACATTCTAATCCCTGGGTCTCTCTCTCTGTATCTCAGGTACAGCTGTGTGGGTTGATGGCTGAGAGGTGAAGTCTGCAGAGAGACGCCATCATGAACTCTCTCCCGCCCATGGACCGACACATCCAGCAGACCAACGACCGCCTGCTCTGCATCAAACAGGTGCACGCACACACGCACACACACACACACACACACACACACACACACACACACACACACACACACACACACACACAAGGACCAGTTTAGTATGATACCTCTCCTTTAAGCTGCTTTATCTCGTTCTATCGTTTTCTCCATATAAATTAGCACTACCATTCCATGTTTTTGGGTAAAATCCAATCAAATCCAATCATAAAGAGCAGCTTAGTGACCTGAGTTTGAAAATGGCTTTTTATCGCAACCAATTAGACCAGACGCCTCATTCTCTCTGTGGACGATCTGTATCTCCTCGCTTTGTAAGAGATCTCGCCTCTCAAACAATTACAGAAACGCACATTAGGAGCAGTGACAGATGTCGATGTGTTCTTTTGTTGCTATGTTTGGATGCATGCTAACGAGAAGCACTGAAGCCAATGAATAGTTAATGTTAAATGTTGTTTTTAACGCTATCTTTCGTATGTTACTTTACAGCAGTTTAGGATTGACCAATCATATGCCTCCATTCATGGTTGAAACTCCCTTAGCAACCATGTTAGCAACACGTCTGACACTGTTTTGGAGCAAAGAGGAAAGGCCCATGGTGTAAGATATGTGGCTCCAACTCGCTTATGTTTTGACCCTTTCTCATTGCGAAAAGTTGACACAGGTCCAAACAACACGCCGACATTTCCCCCTGTTATCATCGCCGGGCCAAGCAGGTTCAGGGCTGGTGAAAACGCTGCAAATTGGGGTAGAGTAGAGCCGGGTAGAGTAGGACTAGTGGAAATGGGGCTTCCTGTGTGTGTGTGTCTGTGTGTGTGTGTGTGTGTAATGTTATAGTGTTGTGATACACCGCCATTGTGAACATAGTTTCTCACTAAAATCTGAATTATTTCTGATTTATGGAACAAGACAATTGCCCTCCCTGGCCTCAGGTGCAGGCGTGGGCCCAGCCTCTTGGCGTTTGGCTCCTGGTGGCTCTCTGGATGCATCTGGCCCTGGTTATTTTCGCAGCGATGGGTGATTTTTGGCGGCGGCCGGGGGAACATCTGTGGAGTGTCTGTGCCAGGCCTGGTCCCGGTGACAAGGGGTCTGTGCCAGGCCTGGTCCCGATGACAAGGGTCTGTGCCAGGCCTGGTCCCGGTGACAGGGGGTCCGTGGGGGGTCTTTGTGTGGAGTGGTCAGAGCAATAATCACTTGTGACCGGAGAGAGCACCATGTGTTTGGGCCCTCAGCGTCCGCCAGGTTCATTTCAATTTAAAAAGGAGGATTTGCATTCGGAGAACAGAGATTTTCATCCAATCTAAATGTGTTTACAAGTGGTGATTAAAGCTGGGGTACGTAATTATGAAACCACAGACAATTAAATACCATTCATATACTGTACAACTGGTTCTTTGCTCTCAAGTCTATCTCTATTTCCCTCTGTCACATCTTTAGATCAGCTTTTTCAGACAGAATTGTGAAAAAGACAGGACAAACCTCACTCAGTCAGATGAATAACTAGAGATAAGATAGAAACAAAAGAGAGACCAGAGAGAGACCGGAGAGAGACCGGAGAGAGACCAGAGAGAGACCAGAGAGAGACCGGAGAGAGACCGGAGAGAGACCGGAGAGAGACCAGAGAGAGACTAGAGAGAGACCAGAATGAGACAATGTAGGGACCAGAGAGAGAGACCAGAGAGAGACCAGAGAGAGACCAGAGAGGGAGACCAGAGAGAGAGACCAGAGAGAGACCAGAGAGAGACCAGAGAGAGACCAGAGAGAGACCAGAGAGAGACCAGAGAGAGAGACCAGAGAGACACCAGAGAGGGATCAGAAAGAGACTATGTAGGGACCAGAGAGAGAGACCAGAGAGAGAGGCCAGAGAGAGACCAGAGAGAGACCAGAGAGTACTAAAATGTACCTGGTACCAGTTAAACAGACCGTATGAGTAGAGTAGAGTAGAGTAGAGTAGAGTAGAGTAGAGTAGAGTAGAGTAGAGTAGAGTAGAGTAGAGTAGAGTAGAGTAGAGTAGAGTAGAGTAGAGTAGAGTAGAGTAGAGTAGAGTAGAGTAGAGTAGAGTAGTGGATATGTAGCATACCGTATGTTTGTAGTGATGTCACATACATATATTCCCACTCAAAGCTTCCCTGATTGGTCGGTTTTGACGCACTCTCACCTGTATAACGATTTCCTCTGCTGAGAATAGCTTTGCAGAGGTTAGCGAGAGTTTAGCTGCTGCTTCTGTCTGGCTGCAAACATAAAAAGGTGCTGGGGGTGAAGGAGAATGTTGTCAGGAAAAGGCAATGCTCCGTTCAGGGTCAAACGTGGAATAATGCGCTCGTCCTCTGTCCACAAAGCAATAACTGTGGATTTATTACCACAGGGAGAAACATGGGGGAGTCGAATGGACTGTGTGAGAGAGAGGTCGAAAAAAGAGACATTTTAGTTGTATTTTTGGTCTGTTTATAGCATTGAGAGATGCTTTATAACCGGGAGAATTAACTGAGACCAGAGAGAGACAAAAGAGAGATCAGAGAAAGACCTGAGAGAAACTATCGAGAGAGACCAGAGAGAGACTAGAGGGAGACCAGAGAGACCAGTGAGGCCACAGAGAGACCAGAAAGAGACCAGAGAGAGACCAGAGAGAGACCAGAGAGAGACCAGAGAGAGACCAGCGAGAGACAAGAGTGAGATCATAGAGAGACCAGAGAGGGACCTGAGAGAAACTAGAGAGAGACACGAGAGAGACTAGAGAAGGACAAGAGAGACTAAAGCCTAGTTTATACTCGCGCGGCGCGGAGCTTACGGAGGTGACGTGACGTCACTTGCGCAACGCGTTGGTCACCGCAAGGCCCTTACGTCGCCTGCCGCGCAGCATCAAAATGTTCTAACTACGTAAGGGTCGCCGCAAGGAATCTCCGCTGTGATTGGGCCGTGTGTGTGTATTGGAAGGAAGCACGGATCGGCTGCAGCAGGAACATGGAGGAGGCACTATGGAGCAGAGAGCTTTGTGCTTCGAAGGAAAAGCAGTTTGTGCTCAGAGCCTGATATACAGGAGACTGTGGACTATCTAACATATATATAACATATATATAACCTATATCTAACATATATATAACTTATAAACTGTGCAGTCGTTTGTTTTGCACTGTTCCTGTCTTGTTTGAATCGTAGCTGTGTTTGTTGCTTTCCTCCTGCACTCGTAAATCGTTCATGTTTGTCTCAGATATTTACCACTATTATTGTTTTGCTGTTTGTGCTGAAAACTATTTAATAATAACTATGTTTCCAACAAGAACTGTGTCTTTATTCACAGCATCACAGTTGAAATGACTTATAAAATAATGAATCCATAAAACTATCACATAAACCTACAGTAGAAACACGTGTAATGAGCTCAAACAGCTTTGTTTGCTATTGTTGTTCTGAAGAGGACAAAGTAGCAGCGTAAATGGGACCGCTCCTGTGTGATCGCCCTCATGTGGTTTGTTGTGGGATTAGAACATTCTCCTCAAAACTCCGTAAGGGGAACGCACCAGTATAACATCAATTGTGCTTACGTAGGTCCACCGCAACCGCTAACGTAAGCCACGCTACGCAAGTATACACTAGGCTTAAAGAGAGACCAGAGTGAGACCAGAGTGAGATTAGAGAGAGATTAGAGAAAGACCAGAGAGAGAGACCAGAGAGAGACCAGAGAGAGAGACCAGAAAGAGACCGAAGAGAAAGACGTGAGAAACGGACGAAAGAGAAATTAGAGAGAGAGACCAGGGAGAGACAACAGTTGATAAATGCTGACAAAGATCTTTTTGACAGTTTTTTAAAGCACTTATTCTTGCCTTCCTAGTGTATGAACGGTGCCATACAATTAAACTTAAACTTGTTTCTCTGCAGCACTTACAAAACCCGGCGAACTTCCAGACGGCCGCCACAGAGCTGCTAGACTGGTGCGGTGACCCACGAGCGTTTCAGAGGCCGTTTGAGCAAAGCCTCATGGGATGTCTCACGGTAAGACGTTTTTGTTTTAGACACCACTCATTCAACATTGTAAAGCAGTTTGGTTTGACCTTGGTCTGTGAAATTTGCTATATGAATAAATACTACTTACTTACCATCCACTCAAACCCTCGGCTTTTACTCTACAATCGACCTATTTCCAGACAGAGGTGAGCTGTTTCTATTTGTTTGAAGATTCTTCCTGTGAGCATATTGATTCATTTGGTGGATCCTGTTAATAATAAAAATAAAAAATGGGATATACAACCTCATGCGCCAGAAGAAAGTTATTCAGCTCAATGTGTTTGTGATTAGCTCTATAAAAAACACATAGAGCCGTTGATCCAGAGACCAGAAAGAGACCAGAGAGAGACCAGAGAGAGACCAGAGAGAGACCAGAGAGAGACCAGAGAGAGACCAGAGAGAGGCCAGAGAGAGGCCAGAGAGAGGCCAGAGAGAGGCCAGAGAGAGGCCAGAGAGAGGCCAGAGAGAGGCCAGAGAGAGGCCAGAGAGAGAGCAGAGAGAGACCAGAAAGAGGCCAGAGAGAGAGCAAAGAGAGATTGGAACGAAAGACCAGAGAGAGACCAGAGAAAGGCCAGAGAGAGAGAGACCATAGAGAGAGACCAGAAAGAGATCAGAGAGAGACCAGAGAGAGGCCAAAGAGAGAGGTAAGAGAGAGACCAGAAAGAGACCAGAGAGAGGCCAACTAGAGATGTAAGAACACATGCATCTGTGTTCGGCTCTGTCACAAACACGCAGAGCCATTGGTCCATAAGGGGCAGAAGGCCAATGTCCATAAATGTTGATAAATGTCCATAAAAGTCGTTGAATGTCATATTTAGAAGCAGCCATCGTAGCTCCCAGATGCAGAAGCCTGGGCTTAATTAGACGGACTGTAGTCGTAGATCTTCTGTGCTGCTATAAATACAGGAGCTGATTTGTTTTGGTTTGGTGTTAGGTTATAGTTAAAGACGTAATGACAGGGTTCAGAGGGAGAGGTCCTCAGGCTGCAGCTCCAGACACCAGCCAGGACAGGACGCACCGCTGCAGGAGGCAACAACAGTGACAAATATTAGTTTATCATGAAGAAAGCATGGGATTTTTTTGGACTGGTTTTTTAGAGTCCCGATGTGATAGCGATATATCTCTGAGGACTTTACAAAGCTGTTGATTCGCCAACACAGATAAGAGAATCAAACCTTTCAAACAGAGGAATTGCAATGATAACAAACATGTAGAGACATATGGGGAAGATGACCAATGTCCATAAATAGTTGTCAAATGTATATAATAATAATAATAATAATAATGAATGTATCTATTTTTTTGTCTTTCTCAGATCGTGAGTCGTGTGTCGGCTCAGCAGGGATATGACTTGGATCTGGGATACAGACTTCTGGCTGTGTGTGCGGCCAATAGGGACAAGTTCACCCCCAAATCTGCAGGTAGGACATCTATCTGTCTGTCTCTCCTTCTGTCTGTCTGTCTGTTCCTGAGAGTTACACACACAGAGACCTGCGTTCATACTTCAGGGATCATACAATATCTAGTCATCTGTGTATTTGTCTTTCTGTCTGACTATAAATCTATCTAAATGTTTAGTTTTTCCATTCTGTTAAAATACAGGAACCTGCTTTTAACAGGTCTAAACCAGGACTGAGACAGTACAAAAGCAGTTTTAAAATTGCACTAAAGTAGGTTGAAAAAGGGTCTAAAGTAGGACTAGAGTTGGACTAAAGTAGGTCTGAAGCAGGACTAGAGTAGGACTAAAGTAGGACTAAAGCAGGACTAGAGTTGGACTAAAGTAGGTCTGAAGCAGGACTAGAGTTGGACTAAAGTAGGTCTGAAGCAGGACTAGAGTTGGACTAAAGTAGGTCTGAAGCAGGACTAGAGTTGGACTAAAGTAAGTCTGAAGCAGGACTAGAGTAGGAATAAAGTAGGACTAAAGCGGGACTAGAGTTGGACTAAAGTAGGTCTGAAGCAGGACTAGAGTTGGACTAAAGTAGGTCTGAAGCAGGACTAGAGTTGGACTAAAGTAGGTCTGAAGCAGGACTAGAGTTGGACTAAAGTAGGTCTGAAGCAGGACTAGAGTTGGACTAAAGAAAGTCTGAAGCAGAACTAGAGTTGGACTAAAGTAGGACTAAAGCAGGACTAGAGTTGGACTAAAGTAGGACTAAAGCAGGACTAGAGTTGGACTAAAGTAGGTCTGAAGCAGGACTAGAGTTGGACTAAAGTAGGTCTGAAGCAGGACTAGAGTTGGACTAAAGTAGGTCTGAAGCAGGACTAGAGTTGGACTAAAGTAAGTCTGAAGCAGGACTAGAGTAGGAATAAAGTAGGACTAAAGCAGGACTAGAGTTGGACTAAAGTAGGTCTGAAGCAGGACTAGAGTTGGACTAAAGTAGGTCTGAAGCAGGACTAGAGTTGGACTAAAGTAGGTCTGAAGCAGGACTAGAGTTGGACTAAAGTAGGTCTGAAGCAGGACTAGAGTTGGACTAAAGTAAGTCTGAAGCAGAACTAGAGTTGGACTAAAGTAGGACTAAAGCAGGACTAGAGTTGGACTAAAGTAGGACTAAAGCAGGACTAGAGTTGGACTGAAGTAGGTCTGAAGCAGGACTAGAGTTGGACTAAAGTAGGTCTGAAGCAGGACTAGAGTTGGACTAAAGTAGGTCTGAAGCAGGACTAGAGTTGGACTAAAGTAGGTCTGAAGCAGGACTAGAGTTGGACTAAAGTAGGTCTGAAGCAGGACTAGAGTCGGACTAAAGTAGGTCTGAAGCAGGTCTAGAGTTGGACTAAAGTAGGTCTGAAGCAGGACTAGAGTTGGACTAAAGTAGGTCTGAAGCAGGACTAGAGTTGGATTAGAGTTGGACTAAAGTAAGTCTGAAGCAGGACTAGAGTAGGACTAAAGTAGGACTAAAGCAGGACTAGAGTTGGATTAGAGTTGGACTAAAGTAAGTCTGAAGCAGGACTAGAGTAGGACTAAAGTAGGACTAAAGCAGGACTAGAGTTGGATTAGAGTTGGACTAAAGTAGGTCTGAAGCAGGACTAGAGTAGGACTAAAGTAGGACTAAAGCAGGACTAGAGTTGGACTAAAGTAAGTCTGAAGCAGGACTAGAGTAGGACTAAAGTAGGACTAAAGCAGGACTAGAGTTGGATTAGAGTTGGACTAAAGTAGGTCTGAAGCAGGACTAGAGTAGGACTAAAGTAGGACTAAAGCAGGACTAGAGTTGGACTAAAGTAGGTCTGAAGCAGGACTAGAGTTGGACTAAAGTAGGTCTGAAGCAGGACTAGAGTTGGACTAAAGTAAGTCTGAAGCAGAACTAGAGTAGGACTAAAGTAAGTCTGAAGCAGAACTAGAGTAGGACTAAAGTAGGACTAAAGCAGGACTAGAGTTGGACTAAAGTAGGTCTGAAGCAGGACTAGAGTTGGACTAAAGTAGGTCTGAAGCAGGACTAGAGTTGGACTAAAGCTGGTTTGATTACCCACGCTCCACCACTGTCCATCTCTCCGCATTCTCGCTCCACGTTCTCGCTCCACGTTCTCGCTCCACGTTCTCGCTCCACGTTCTCGCTCCACGTTCTCGCTCCACGTTCTCGCTCCACGTTCTCGCTCCACGTTCTCGCTCCACGTTCTCGCTCGCCGATGCAGTTTGAGCTCCTACATTTCTGTTCTGTCATCTAAACCACTTTCTCAAACACGGGGGCAAAACTGAAGCCGGACATTTGTAGCTTATTCCAGCAGTCGGAAATCAATACCCGAGCAGTTTACAAGCAATTAAACACAGGCCGAGCACAAGAAATCTCATATATTCTGACGAGGAAACGGCAAGAGGTGCAGAAAGTCGGAACAAATTTGTGTTTTGTGCTTGGTGCGAGGAAAAGTGGATTGATCCGGTTGTTTCAAAAGCCATATTTGTGATTGGAACTAATCTAAGTAGTGGTAATCTTCAGAAGTCTGCCAACAAAGCAACTAGTAAGAAGCAAACCAGTCGAATATTAGCAAAACATTACAAGCTATAGCATCAGGTCAAAGCGATAGAGAACTGTACAAACACACAAAGGCCAAATTGCAGAGAATGGAGTCAATTCACAACAAAAGGATTTTTTTTTTGTGGGTGCTGCCTCATATCTGCTCCTTGTGTCCAACCTGGAAGTAACATCATTAAAGTGGTCACACAGAGGGAATACTTGGACTTTACTGTACAATTTAACCATTCTTTGGTTGACACTCTCTCTGGTCTCTCTCTGGCCTCTCTGGGGTCTCTGGTCTCTCTCTGGTCTCTTTGGTTTCTCCCTGGTCTCTCTGGTCTCTCTCTGGTCTCTCTCTGACCTCACTGGTCTCTCTCTAGTCTCTCTCTGGTCTCTCTCTAGTCTCTCTCTAGTCTCTCTCTGGTCTCTCTCTGGTCTCTCCCTGGTCTCTCTCTGGTCTCTCTCTGGTTTCTCTCTGGCCTCTCTGGGGTCTCTGGTCTCTCTCTGGTCTCTTTGGTTTCTCCCGGGTCTCTCTGGTCTCTCTCTGGTCTCTCTCTGACCTCACTGGTCTCTCTCTAGTCTCTCTCTGGTCTCTCTCTGGTTTCTCTCTAGTCTCTCTCTGGTCTCTCTCTGGTCTCTCTCTGGTCTCTCTCTGGTCTCTCTCTGGTCTCTCTCTAGTCTCTCTCTAGTCTCTCTCTGGTCTCTCTCTGGTCTCTCCCTGGTCTCTCTCTGGTCTCTCTCTGGTTTCTCTCTGGCCTCTCTGGGGTCTCTGGTCTCTCTCTGGTCTCTTTGGTTTCTCCCGGGTCTCTCTGGTCTCTCTCTGGTCTCTCTCTGACCTCACTGGTCTCTCTCTAGTCTCTCTCTGGTCTCTCTCTGGTTTCTCTCTAGTCTCTCTCTGGTCTCTCTCTGGTCTCTCTCTGGTCTCTCTCTGGTCTCTCTCTAGTCTCTCTCTAGTCTCTCTCTGGTCTCTCTCTGGTCTCTCCCTGGTCTCTCTCTGGTCTCTCTCTGGTTTCTCTCTGGCCTCTCTGGGGTCTCTGGTCTCTCTCTGGTCTCTTTGGTTTCTCCCGGGTCTCTCTGGTCTCTCTCTGACCTCACTGGTCTCTCTGGTACCTCTCTCGTCTCTCTCTTGTCTCTCCCTGGTCTTTCTCTGGTTTCTCTTGGTCTCTCTCTGGTTTCTCTCTAGTCTCTCTCTGGTCTCTCTCTGGTCTCTCTCTAGTCTCTCTCTGGTCTCTCTCTGGTCTCTCTCTCTAGTCCAGGGGTGCTCACACTTTTTCAGCATGCGAGCTACTTATAAAAGGATCAAGTCAAAATGATCTACCTACTACAAAAATGCAAATCATATATTTATTTTAAAAAATATTCTTTATACCTACAATATATGTTTATGTACATGCAAAACCGCATGAGCCAATATAGCACAACACAACACAATTATCTATGTACATTTTTTGTCATTACCCGAGTTTACTCTTATGACTTGCACTGAATTGAATCGGCCAGGGATGCATAGTCCGGAAAATTGGTGGTAACTCGCTGACAAGTTTGTCGTGGTTTAGCTTTCCTGCACTGAGCGCGGTTGTTTGCGCATGTGCAGTCACCTAAGTGTCAGTAAAACATTACTGAGTAAAACACAGATGTCATTTGACTGTGGTGCCATGTCCATGTGCCATGCCTGGTTTATTTAAATCCAAATATTTCCCCTCCTCCGTTTATAAAATAATTTGCATCCACACATCTGCGTTATCAATCACATTCCAAACATGTGCGTCTCTTACGTCCTGTCCTGCGTTGGGGAAAAACACAGAAGTGGGCGGAGCTTTGATGCAGACGCCGGTAACGGCACTTTTACAGTCATAGAAGACACTCAGAGTAAAGACGTATGTTTACAAGCACTGACCCCGTCCTCAGCCCTGGTTTAGTCCTGGTTTAGTCCTGGTTTAGTCCTGGTTTAGTTGTTTTCAAGCGTGAGTCCCCGCGATCACTTTGCTGCCCTCTGATGTGGAGGATGTTCGCTGCTGCGAGCATCTCACAGCGGACAGTTTTTAAGGTAGTATGATCCATGCTTCAGTGATCAGAGGAATTTAGGGGGGTACTGTGGCGTGCGAGAACGCAAAACTCCGGTTATCTCTGTCTACACACAAATGCATTAACGGAGTTTTCAAAAATCTCCACTTTGCCCGGAGTTTTTTGTATATATTAGTTTAGAATGTGTAATTTTTTATTTATTTAATGCGATCTACCAATACTACCTTTGCGATCGACTGGTAGATCGCGATCGACGTATTGAGCACCCCTGATCTAGTCTCTCTCTAGTCTCTCTCTGGTCTCTCTCTGGTCTCTCTCTGGTCTCTCTCTGGTTTCTCTCTAGTCTCTCTCTGGTCTCTGTCTAGTCTTTCTCTGGTCTATCTTAATGAGAAGAATTGCTAGTTGCATGTATTATTAGCCTTTATCATATTCTGTACTGTACAATTTCACCTTTCTCTCTCTCTCTCTCTCTCTCTCCCTCTGGTCTCTCTCTCTCGCTCTGGTTTCTCTCAGGTCTTTTGTTATCAAGCCATGAAAACACCAGAGAATAAACTATGTACAAGCGTATAACTACTTCTTCTGTCTAGTGTGTAAAAAACAGATACCCCACCTTTAATTTGTCGGCTGGTGGAAAGAGTTTTGGTGTGTACTATCTGCTCTGTCTGGTTATTCCAATGTGGTTTTACTGCAAATGGCCAAATAAACAAAATCTTGAACCTTAAATCTTGTTTGTCCCACACACACATCTCTAACACGAAGGTCTACAGACTTTTTTACTTGTATGTGGACCGAATGAAAGCCCACATAATCCTAATTTATACTGCAGTAATAGCATTTAAACAGCTCTTGTGTGCGTCTTGTTTGAAAGAAACTTTTGTGGCGTCTCGGCCCAAACACTGGATGAATAGTTGGATTATCCTGATGCCTTTTTCTTGTCTTTTTCCCAGATTGTGAGTCTGATTTAGGGGGAAGGGCGTGTGATCTCTGTGTGGAGGGATTACAGCGCTCTGTTAATCTGCACTGTCTTAACCGGGGACCAGTCTCACAGCAGGATTCAAGGAGCAGAGGGCAGTTTTCTAAGAGCAGGGGCAACCGTGGGGGCGTGTCCTGTGTGTCACAACATCACAGCAGCTAAAGATACAGTCGGTTTAAAGCTGGGTTTGGACCCAAGCAACAACATGCATGTATGAGGGGTTGTTGTTTAAATGTGGTTCTGGAGAATGGATAGTTTTGAGAGAGGGGAGAGAGAGCATAGAGAGAGCATAGAGAGAGCATACAGAGAGCAGAGAGAGAGCATAGAGAGAGCATAGAGAGAGAATACAGAGAGCAGAGAGAGAGCATAGAGAGAGCATAGAGAGAGCAGAGAGAGAGCAGAGAGAGAGCATAGAGAGAGCATACAGAGAGCATAGAGAGAGCATAGAGAGAGCATAGAGAGAGAATACAGAGAGCAGAGAGAGAGCATAGAGAGAGCATAGAGAGAGCATAGAGAGAGCATACAGAGAGCATACAGAGAGCATACAGAGAGCATAGAGAGATCAGAGAGAGATCAGAGAGAGCATAGAGAGAGCATACATAGAGAGAGCATACAGAGAGAGAGCATACAGAGAGCAGAGAGATCAGAGAGAGTTCAGAGAGAGAGCATACAGAGAGCAGAGAGAGAGCATTGAGGGAGCAGATCAGAGAGTGAGACCAGAGAGAGAGAGAGAGAGCATATAGAGGAACCAGAGAGAGACCGGAGAGAGGCCGGAGAGAGGCCGGAGAGAGGCCGGAGAGACCAGAGAGAGGCCAGAGGGAGACCAGAGGGAGACCAGAGGTAGACCAGAGCTAGACCAGAGCTAGACCAGAGCTAGACCAGAGCTAGACCAGACAGAGACCAGAGAGAGGCGTGTTCTTGTCCCATTGGCAATCTTTGTTTCAAGTCAAAATGTGTTCAATTACTCAATCTCTCTCCCTTCCATGTCTCTCCTCCTACCTCCCTCCTCTCTGCTTTCTCCTTTTTTCCCTCTCTCCCCTCCTTCCCACCCTCCCTCCTCTCTCCCCCTCCCCCCTCTCTCCTTCTCTCATTCCTCCCTCTCTCCCCCTCCCTCCCTCCCTCCCTCCCTTCCTCTCCTCTCTGTCTTCTCTGTGAGATTCCTGTGAGCCGCTGAGGCGAACAGTAGCTGGAATGCGCCGCTGCGACCTTCACCCAGCGACTATTGTGATTAAGCACTTTTTAAATCGGTCCGAAGACCCGCGTCCGTTTGTTCAAGAGCAGATTTCAACCACAGCCAGATAAGACACGGGGTTAACAAGTACATCTCCTGATAATACGCAGTTTGAGAAGTTTATTTGGAGAACCAGGTGTCTGTTTCGCTGCATTGTGCCCGATCCCAGCTCCATCTCACTTTGGTTCGAAGTATTAAATGTAGTTGTTTGAAATGGATCAGACAAAGAAGTATTTCATCTGTGCATACAACTGAAGGACTGTATCTTTTTTCTCTCTGGTACTTCTCTGATCCCTCTATGGTCTCTGGTCTCTCTCCCTGGGCTCTCAGTTCTCTCTCTAGTCTCTCTCTGGTCTCTCGTGGTCTATCGCTGGTCTCTCTCAGTTCTCTCTCTAGTCTCTCTCTGGTCTCTCGTGGTCTATCGCTGGTCTCTCTCTGTTCTCTTGTCTCTCTCTGGTCTCTCTGTGGTCTCTCTCTGGTCTCTCTCTGATATCTCTCTGGTCTCTCTCTAATATCTCTCTCAGGTCTCTCTCTCTCTCTGGTCTCTCTCTCTGTGCTCTCTGGTCTCTCTCTGGTGTCTGGTGTCGCTGGTATCTCGGTCTCTCTCTGATATCTCTCTCAGGTCTCTCTCTCTGCTCTCTCTCTGGTCTCTCTCTCTGTGCTCTCTCTGATCTCTGGTATCTCTCTCAGGTCTCTCACTGGTCTCTCTCTGGTCTCTCTCTGATATCCCTTTCAGGTCTCTCTCTGGTCTCTCTCTCTCTGTTCTCTCTCTCAGGTCTCTCTCTGGTATCTCTTTCTGGTCTCTCTGCTCTCTCCTGCTGGTCCTGGGTGCACTTTATGTGACTTTCTGAAAGTTTTTATTTTTCCCGTTTTTCAAAATTGTTCTCTTCCTGCACAAGAAATCGGACTAGTTCTTATTTCAAGTTGATTCCAGCATTTATCGCCTTATTTTTCTCTCGTCACTTTAAAGTCCTTGTTTGTGCGCCTCTGCCACCAGCACTTTTCAGACATGTGTGGATTCTATTTGAGAAAAGCCGCAGTGAAACTATATGTTGAGAGGAGGCCGGCGATGCGTTCGGGAGCGCGGATTTGGGTCAGTAAATTACAGACTTCAGAGCGCCACTCTGGCCTTGGCACCAGGAGATAAACTGTGACACGTACCAAGCACAAATACCAGAAAACTAATGCACCCATATGGTTTATTTCAGTTAATTTCATGGAGAAAACAACAACATCAAGGAACAAAATACTTTTTAAAGCTGATGTTTCATAATAATAATCATAATGCTTTGGTTTTATACCAGAGAGACCAGAGAGAGAGAGACCAGAGAGAGAGACCGAGAGAGAGACCAGAGATAGTACCAGAGCTAGAGAACTATGAGAGAGAGACCAGAGAGAGGACCAGACGAGACGAGACCAGAGAGAGAGGCCCAGAGAGAGAAGACCAAGAGATAGTGCCAGAGTTAGAGGACCAGAGAGACGGAGACCAGAGAGAGACCAGAGAGAGAGACCAGAAAGAGGACCAGCGAGAGAGACAGAGAGAGAGACAGAGAGAGGGGACCAGAGAGAGAGACCAGAGAGAGAGACCAGAGAGAGAGACCAGAGAGAGAGACCTAGAGAGAGACCAAGAGAGAGACCAGAGAGAGGGACCAGAGAGAGATCCAGAGAGAGAGACCAGAGAGAGACCAGAGAGAGAGAACCAGTAAGAGGGACCCAAAGCGAGAGAGACCAGAGAGAGACCAGAGAGAGGGACCAGAGAGAGGGACCAGAGAGAGAAACCAGAGAGAGAGACCAGAGAGAGAGACCAGAGAGAGAGACCGTAGAGAGAGCCAGAGAGCGAGACCAGAGAGAGAGACCAGGAGATAGTGACCAGAAAGAGGGACCAGCGAGAGAGACCAGAGAGAGAGACCAGAGAGAGAGACCAGAAGAGAGGGACCAGAGAGAGGGACCAGAGAGAGGGACCAGAGAGAGGGACCAGAGAGAGAGGACCAGAGAGAGAGACCAGAGAGAGAGACCCAGAGAGAGAGACCAGAGAGAGAGACCAGAGAGAGAGAGACCAGAGAGAGAGACCAGAGAGGAGAGACCAGAGAGAGCGACCAGAGAGAGCGACCACCGCAGAGAGAGAGAGACCGTAGAGAGAGCCAGAGAGAGACACCAGCGAAAGAGTCCAAAGAGAGAAACTAGAGAGAGAGCCCAAAGAGAGAGACCTGTGAGCAAGACTTGAGATCGAGACCTGAGAGAGAAACTAGAGAGAACTAGAAAACCATCTTCTTTAAAACCTACATTTTTTGAATGTAGTTGTATTGTATTGTTCTCACTGGTTTGTGATCCTCAAAAGCAGTGGCCCCTGATCGGCCCCTCCCTTCTCTGAGCAGTTGGTCTCACAGTTGGACACTTCTGCTTTCATCCTTTTCATGCCCTTAAATTCAAACCCACTAGAAATGTCTAATCTCTCTATTTCCTCTGGCCATCAAACCAAACGCTGAGCACAGACGTCGTTGAGATGCAGGATTCTCAAAATGGATCTTTGTGACTTGGTTTAAAGCTTTAACATTCAAACCGAAGGGACGCAGCCGTAAAGAATTTGAACTGGTGAAATTCACTAAAACATATTTAGTTTTACAGCTTTTTTTGCAGTTCTCGCTTTTCTCAGAACAGAATGAAAGTTCTCACCTGATATTAGGTTCAAACCTCCCCAACCTGGAGTCGTGGTGTGACGATCATTCGCAGCCAGTTTTCTCCTTTGAACGAGACGTCAAATGCTTTTGGACATGCAGCATGTGCTTTCATATTCAATTCGCTGCAAGTTTTCATAACATGTATCGATATTCCGCATGGTCCCTGTCAGTCGCAAAAATGAAACATTCTT